CAAAGACTTTATAACTCTTACTTTGACCCTATAAGTGTTGTTGGAGAAGAAAGTCAAAAGGCAACCTTCATTTGTGGGTTTCCTATACACATCTCGACCTAATCTGGTCTCCTCTTTGCTAAAGAGGGCAGCAAGATAAGGTAAACTACCTCCCTTTTCTAACTCGATGGTGAAGTTCATCTTCCCATCAATTATGTTCATCAAACCAAGAAAATTATCCAGGAACTTTAATTCAAGAGGCACATTCAGTTTCTAAATTATTAGTTCGCTATATGGACGACTACTTTGCTATTTGACAGCATGGAAAAAAAAATCTGGAGAATTTTCTTGGTTTGGTGAACAGGATCAATTGGAAGATTAAATTCACCATTAAATTAGAATAGGAAGGTAGTTTACTTTTTCTTGATGTCTTAGTAAGTAAAGAGGGGACAAGATAAGGTTAAGATGTATATATGAAACCCACAAATGCAGGTTTCCTTTTGAATTTCTTCTCGAACTACACTTATGGGCTTAAAGTAGGAGTTATGAAGTCTATGATAATAAGGAGCCTGCGTTTGGCATATCTTAGGCATAGGGACAAGGAATTGAGGAGACTAAGGAGAATTCTTATTCACGAGGACTGGTTGACAATTATTTAAGAATATCGTCAAATGGGCTTGAGGGGAAATATATATTTGGGGATAGATAAAAAGATATATCTCTACAATGATCCTTATGCTACCATCGTGTAATCTGTGGAAGAAGATAGGCGAATTACTGAGGTGGGACATCAGGACCGTTTATAAAGAGAAAATAACACTGTCCTCGGTATTGCCTTCTTTTCGAGAATACTTTGACCCACTCTCCAGAACGGGCTGTTACAAGATTTTGCGTTCATGTTGTAGTGCCTTTGTGGGAGACCTGTGGACCCATACATAAGAAGTTATATGAACACAAAACAGCCTGCAAGGATATGTGGGTCCAAAAATCGGAATTGGCCGAACACATGACTCGCACAGGACACAAGATACCAAACGCTTAGCTGCATATGGAGACTATACCAACCAGTAAGCGAAAGATTAGGGAGATGATGATTGGTATCTCCCGTGGTAAAGCCTGTAATCGGTCACCTCCCTTTCCAACGCAGATACAAGTTACACACGACACTCACCGGCACACATTGGTGACCTCTATCTAGCCCACCTATACCTTTAGCCTTTAACTTGATATCCTACACCTCACAGATGAACCCCCGGGGTAAATTTTTGGCCAATTCCATGTCTGACTCCCCTCACTGCAGTCGTCTTTTCTTGAATTGCCTTTATTCCTCATGAGCCGCTCTTTGCTGATGTCTCTTCCTGTTGTTGAATAGTTGTCTTGGGTCCAATTGTCTTCTTTTTAATGTCTTCGTTAAATCTCCAAGTCTGTTCAAGGCAGTAACCAAAATTATCGCTGACTCTTCTCTCGTCCAATCTCATGTTCATCAGCTTTGTTTGAAAGAGGATGTCCACAGCTTCCATAATCTTCCGTTTCCTTGTGTTTTTCCCATATGAGGCCAGTCTTTCCGTTGCATTCCAGTCAATTGTGTGGCCGGTAAGGGCGATGTGTTCAGCCATCTCCGATCTTTATGTATCAATTTTTCTACATAGTCGCTGGTTTTCTTTGATCCTTGTGCTACTTGTCCTTCCCGTCTCTCCGATGTATTTCTGTTAACAGTCCTTATAGTTTACGCAGTAAACTCCAGATCACTCAATTTTGTTTACTTCTTCATCTTGTGTAGAGTAGCTGGTAAAAAGAGTTGACTTTCCTTCA